CTCTGTACACAGAGAGCTGTTACCCTTCCCTTTATAGTTATGACACGTGCCTATTAACACTCAATATGGTATACTTTGCAAAATACATGGGTGGGGGTGGGGGCGGGGTTTCTTAAATCCATGCACTCAACTTTCATCTATTACAGATCCATGTGCTCCTCTGGGATCTTCCTTGTCTCAGTGACTAAAATACAACTTGAAAAATTGTTGACTTGAACATCCACTTTTCCCCGCTCCATATGGCTGTTCAAATATAGTGAAAACTGTTTATGCTATAACAATGGCTCTTCAGTATATCTTGATTAGCAAAGCATTATACTTTTTCAGTTTGTCAGTCATTACAATTTAACCTCACTTCATCCTCCTGTTTACCTCTCGACTATCTTGATCTGCACAAAGTCTATTAAAGTGTATTTAACTTCACAGGTGATCAAACGTGCTTCTAGTAGATGAATTATTTATTAACAAATCTGTTTAATACTGTGCATTTTTCTTTTCATTACTAGTTTCTCAAACAGTTAGGTATACATCCTGACTGGCAATTTGTAGATGTGTATGGTATGGATCCAGAACTACTTAGCATGGTGCCAAGACCTGTCTGTGCAGTGCTACTTCTCTTCCCAGTAACAGAAAAGGTAAATATTTACTATTGATACTTAGTAATTCAAAATCAGTAGATCAGTCAAAATGTCCCATCATACATAATATGAAATCTGTAATTCTCTACGTCAGTGAAATAGTTAATGAGACTAAAAAAACCAACAAGCTTTCTTCAAAGTTCCTCTGGTTTGTGACACATTCTGTTCTTGTCAAAATAAGATTATTAAACAAAACTGTACAATTGCAGAAGTATTAACAATAAATGTATAAACAAAGGAAATCTGATGTTGCTCTCAGTCAGCAATAGATGTGAATGATATTTTAAAGGATTTTGAGATCTTCTCTTAATGGAGCTGCAATATTTATTTTTGTTGTTTTAACACTTATACCACATTAAGGCATGAACAAAGTAGTAAGACGGGATACGGAAAATGTGGACAATATCAAACAGCCATTTATAAAACATATATTGATTTTTGTAGTATCATAATGCAGTCCAAGCTTTAATTACTGTCTAGAGAAGCCTGTAGCTCCAACATAGCTTTCATTTCTTGGGCTAGGTCTACACTACAGCGGGGGGTTGACCTAAGATATGCAACTTCAGCTACGTGAATAGCGTTGCTGAAGTGGCGTATTTTAGGTCGACTTACCTGGCTGTGAGGACGGCGGCAAGTCGACCACTGCCGCGCCGCCGTCGACTCCGCTACCGCCTCTTGCCGCGGTGGATTTCCGGAGTCAACGGTAGAGCCATCAGGGATCGATTTTATCGCGTCTTCACTAGACGTGGTAAGTCGATCCCCGATAGACCGATTGCTAGCCGCCGGATCGGGCGGGTAGTGAAGACGTGCCCTTGGACAGATTGGGGATCATCTTTGTTTTTGATTTGTGTTTTTTGTCAAGAGGGGTTAAAGCGGGGTGGTCCAACTTTTTGGCCGAGGGCCACATCGGGGAATAGAAATTGTATGGAGGGTCATGAATACTCACAAAATTGGGGTTGGGGTGCAGGAGGGGGTGGGGGCTCTGGGGTGGAGCTGGGGATGAGGAGTTTGGGGTGTAGGAGGGTGCTCTGGGCTGGGACCGAGGGGTTTGGAGGGCAGGAGGGGATCAGGGCTGGGGCAGGGGTGCGGGAAGGGGTTCAGGTTCTGGCTGGGGCTGTGGGCTCTGGGGTGGGGCTGTTGGTTTTTCCACTGGGTTTATTTGGGTTGGGGAAAAGAATAAGCTCCCTAAACTGAACTTTTGTCCAATGTCTTAACTCTCTTATCTTGGAGAATGGGGTAATCCATTACTAAAATGCTGTTATGGTGTCATATCAATGGACTACTTGAGGCTAGTTTGAGTACTGTACCCATAAATGTGCAAAGGACATAAGTCCTAGAAAGATCTCTTTTATGGCTTCTGTTTGTCACTTTTTTCACTCTACTATAATTTAATCTTAATTTGTTCAGGTTTTCAGGAAAAATATTGCCTAGATATGTGTATGGCATTCTGGGGTCCAGTCCAGACCAGTGAGGTGTTGCCTCATCACTTGCCCTGCAACCTTGGGTGCCTTAGAATGCTTTGCTGCTGTAACTACCAACCTGGGCCCCTCACAAACAGCATGCAGGTCGCACCTTGAGTGTCTGTGTGTGATGGGGCACTCACCTTTTCCTAGTGCCTCCTGTTGGCTGGTTGTGGAGCTGCAATTATCTTTTTCTCTTGGTATCCTGTAGGTTGGTTCAGTGGCTCAGCCCTCTGACTAAGTCTCACAAACAACAACCCAGGGACCCTACGAGCAGCAGTTGCACACTGCTCCCTTTAACTCTGACTACTGTTTTCCCTGGGCTTCTTCCCAGTGGGTCTCTTCCCTCTTAGGATTACTGTTCTCTGGTCCACTCTCTCCTTTCAAAAAGCAAAGTGCAGCTTCTGGTTATCTCGCAAGCTTCTGTGGCCAGAGCAAAGCACCCTTTCTTTTTTGTCGTCTTCAGCGAAAGGGCGAGAAAGGAGGATAGAGAATGAACACCCGGGGTGTTTTTGCCTCTCCATTTTATAATCCAGTCACCCTTGAATTGCCTTTTCCTGAGGGTTACTCCTAAATACACGTTCCTTCCAGCTGTGAGGATGCAGACATGAGGTCTCATAGTGAAAGATCTTGTTTGTTAAAATGCAAATCTATCTGTTCCTACCCCTCTTCACTGCCAAAGAATGGCTACTTGACTAGTGATCGCCAGTCAGCTTTGACCCCTGGCTAGAGTCGTCAGTTTGTCCTTTGTCTTTGAGAAACTGGTTTACCCACTCCCCAGATTTGCCTGGTTAAACACCTTGAATCATAATTTCAGCTTGTGTTCATAACTCTACATATAATGTTGCTACATATATTTCACCATGATATAATTGTCCAGCGAGTTGTTAGTTTTCAAATGATACCTCACAAATCATATTTTGTACGAAAATTATTACAATAGTGTATAGGGTATGAATACAGAGCTGCATTCAGTCAGTGTGCATTGTGGTATATATTAGCGTGACTCCTTTTTGAGCCATTCTACTTTCGCAAATGGATGTTGCTTGTTGTCAGATCCTTTCCTTATTTTCTGATACTTCCACATCTCTCAATCTCAAGCCCTTACATCAGTACTAGTTCTTTGACAGAGGGGGACTGAATAAGCCTCTTTTTAGAACTGTTAATGTGCCTCACAATTAGTGCTGCATAGCTTGCCCGGGTAGTCTGGAATGCTTACAGCAGAGCAGGCATTCTTTCCTTCTTGAAGGCCAACCTGGCTGTAATGTGTATTACTCCTAACCTCTGCTGGCCAATTCAGTGAGTAATAATGCCCAGAAATTGAATATGCCTTAATAGTAGTATTGCTAGTACCAACAAGTAATTTTTTAATCCCATAAATGTATTTTTGTAGTGTTCTGCTTAAAGAAATGTAATGGATTTTTTTGCAGCAGCATTGCTGTAAAAAAGTGCACAATAGAGCATTTTAGGCACATGTATAAAGCAGATATGGCCATTTGCTAAGAGATTTATAACTACACCGCTACCTCGATATAACGCTACCGGATATAACACGAATTCGGATATAACGCGGTAAAGCAGTGCTCTGGGGGGGCGGGGATGCGCACTCCGGTGGATCAAAGCAAGTTCAATATAACGCGGTTTCACCTATAACGCGGTAAGATTTTTTGGCTCCCGAGGACAGCGTTATATCGAGGTAGAGGTGTATTATTTATTATAACCCTTTTTATTTCTGTGATTAACCAAGGAGTTAAAGGAGGGAAGCATAGTATTTCCAGAGCAAACAACATTCCAGCAGTAGATAAGAGAATGGAATGTTCTATAATTGACAACACCAGCTGGCTAGTGCTTTCAGGTTTGCTGTGCTGACTGATAAAAATCAGTCATCAGGGCAGCATATTGAAAAGGTGGAAAGACTTAAAATCAGGGCGTACCTTCATTCTTGTAGTCCGGATTGTCTATCTGAAAACCTGTCTACTGTGTTCTACCTGCAAGCAGCTGTTTCTGGTTTATTTGTCTTACCAGTTGTTGTAAAAGCACACTGTATTTCTTTTATACTTATTTATTGGTAAACTTCTCCACAGCAGAGTAGATCACACCAAGAAATGAAATGATACAGTAATATGTGTATACTGGGCTGAACATCAGCAAAAAAACCTCCCAATTCCATAATTGTAGAGTATTTTCAAAGCAAAACAAGCTTTTGCTCCTAAGGGTAGCTTCTCTTCAACAGAAATCCGGGAACTTGTACTGAGACCCAGAGTTTGCTTCATTGACTCTGAGAGGCTCTCAGCAGCTCCAATTCCCTCAACAGTGTCTTTCCTTCTGAATGGAAGGAAGCTGCTTATATCCTTTCCCAGACAGCTTTGGTAGAGCGACCTACAAATGCCAGCAGACCTTGAACTAAGACTTCCAGTGGTTCCCTGCAAAGGGGAGTCCACCCAGGAGCTCCATCATCATACTCTAAACAGCAGTGGTCTGGATATACTTCCTTCCTAAAACCATTTCTTCACTCCTTATTGGCTACCTTCTTTATCCCAAAGGTCTCTACAGTAGTTGACAAACTCTGGAATCCTCTTGTGCACTCCAGGATGCTTCCCTCACCAGTAGACCCTATTAAAACATGAATACATGTATAAATTTAATAATTTTCAGATTACACAGCCAAATTGTGTGTCATGGAATAAACTGAACAGAATAAACAAAATTGTCATATTATTATTATGGCCTCAGAAGGCCCATTTGCAAAATTATCAGTACCACTCAAAAACACATAAATGACTCAACTTTTTCCAGAAAAAATAAGACTATATTGAAGCTTCTACAATGCTTCATTTTTTTCCCTTTTAGAGTAGTTATTTATTGTACTCCAGTTTGCTTGCTATAGATCTAAAGCTTCCGTTACCTTCTCCAGGCCTTTTGCTGGATTGCAGGGAGACATAGGAGACTGTGGTAAAGGGGACTGTTTCTCTAAAAGTGAGCCTAGCTCATCAATCTTCATTTTTGAACATTCTTAGCATAGCACTAGATGGCACAACAAGTTAAGTGATTCAGAATATTGGATAAAAGACACTGATGTTTGGCTGGTGACAAGATACTGATTTAGGACTTGACACGCAGATTTATACAAGTGAATAATCTCAGGTACATCAGTGAGACTAGTCATGTGGATAAAGGCTGCAATCCCTTACTTATTCTGTTCTGCTTCCTTCTGTTTCAAACTACAGTACTATTACATTTTAATGGAGCTTTGGTTTTTCATGGGAAATTTGAAATAGTTCTACATGCAAGACGCTTTTGATTTTCTGTTCCAGTATGAAACATTCAGAACAGAAGAGGAAGAGAGAATAAAAGCCCAGGGACAAAATGTCAGATCATCAGTATATTTCATGAAGCAAACCATCAACAATGCTTGTGGAACAATTGGACTTATACATGCTATCGCAAACAACAGAGATAAAATGAACTTCGGTAAATCTTTTCTCTTAATATACTTAATATAATTTTTGGAGGGTAGGTGGCGCAGTACTCCTTTCATAGTGTTGACTCTACTTGAAAATTCTTTAAAAGACACAAGTAGAAATTCGCCATTAGTCTTCTTGTCTTAATTATACAGCAGCAATACAACACAGACTTTTGTTAGTTGGTAGTCATTAAGAATTTTTAGTAATACAAAGGACACTAATACAGCACATAGTTAAATGAATAAAATATAACTCCAAATTCAAAGTAGCAGATACTAATTATTAATACATATTAATATTTCACACCATAATAAGAGTCTGGTGACTTTAAATTGTTTTGTCGTTGTATGCAGTGGAATAGAATATGTTGCATTACAGGCTTAAGTCTCCTTTCTGGATGTAAATAGACTGTATGCCTTGTGTACAAGCTTTTTGACAATGTAATGTTTAATATTAGTCTAGGAAAAAAAGTAAAAGAACAATTCTGATTTGTATTATTTCTTCATGTTGTAACCTTTCAGTTTTCATCTAATTTTCTAAGTTGCTGAGAACAGAAAGAGGAATTGAATGATTAATTAATTTATTATTTATTTTTAAGAATCAGATTCTACACTGAAAAAATTCCTGGAGGATTCATTACCTATGAGTCCTGAAGAGAGAGCCAAATATTTAGAAACCTATGAAGTTAGTATCTTTTTTTATTTTATTATTTTTTTTCCTCTTTTTAATATAGTAGAATTGTTAGCAGGAATAGTCTTGCATCTAAGCCCTGATCCAGCAAACACTGATGTGCTTAAATAGTCCCATTGTTGTAAATGGGACTGCTTACGTGTTTAAAATTAAGCGTGTGCTGAAGTGCTTTGCTAGATTGAGACATGAATGCTTTATTGTAAATGTTGTTTGCTACTAGTGGGGAATTAGTAATCTCACTAACACATGGACGACTTTTTTAACAACTGTTATTTGATTTTCACTTTGCATGAAACAGCACTACACTTTTAAAATACTCTTTTTAAAAAAAATTGAGATCTTGAGGTTAGTTAATGTCTAATCAATACTTCTCATAGTTACAACACTAAAAAATCGTACACTATAGTATATAGCACAACTTTACTCTGCTTTGATGTAAACTTCCATAACCTACAAGTTAAAATGAAGAAAGTGGAATGAGTCTTTAAATACCTGCTATTTTAAGAAATAATTTTTTTTGTTTGAAGTCTAATTAAACATATGTTCTAATTTCAGGCTATTCGTGTTACCCATGAATCCAGTGCCCATGAAGGTCAGACTGAGGTATTCCATTTTTTTAACTTTGTTTATTTTACGAACATAATACTTTGACAGAATGTTTCAAGTTGTTTGATTTTTCAACCATTATAATATTTTCTTTATTTCATGTAAGATCTACACTAGAATGAAAGTTGCCAGCCTCAAATGTTCAAAAATCATGACTGGATTAAAAATAATGATTTTTTTCTTTTAGTTGGGTTTTTTTATTTCCCGTTAGGTTTCTGAGCCATTAGGGTGCCTTGGGTCACATTTTCAAGCTTTTCTCCATAGCCAAGAAAGTCTGGTAACTTCATTTTTTAGTGAAAACAGAGATTCTCCTGTAAGCACATGGAGCTGGGGCTTTAAGAAAAATACCAAATATTGTTAAACTTTTAATAAAATCACAAGAGTTGATAACATTGTACTTTGCCTGTTTTGTGTCAACAGAAAATTAACTCTGACGTTAACTTTATAAACAAGATATAAGTTAGTCATTGAAGCTGAACAAATGGCTGACACTTTTTTATAACTTTTTTTTTATATAAGACAAAACTTCTTAATGTTGGGAATACAAATCAGCAAATGTTAACACCTCATGAACATGGGTGTGATGTTGCTTGTGTACAGACAACTTCAGTTAAGCTCTAAAATCTATGCTATAAACTTTGTTTTACAGCATTTTAAAATTATCCGGTCATTTTCAAGTTTGTGGGGGAGAGACTTGTATATGCTTCTCAGTCAGTATTAGAATACACTCCTGTGTAAAAAGCAGGTCTGTGTTATCTCTGGCAAATCTCAAGTTTTTCTTCACTCTGCATTCTCCAAGTCATTAAATGTTGTACTAAGCCTGGAAACCTAAATATAGTTTGGAGTAATGGCAGCACCTGTATAGATTTTTAATACATGCATTTTTTGTCTTGTCTGGACTAAGTGGAGGTTGGGAAATAGGGATTAAAATGGACGATTTTGTTAGCTAGGAAAAGGTAGAGAAATGGCTCGAGTTTTATGCATCTAGGAGGCAGTTGAAGCTTCTGGCAGATAAAGCTTTCTCTGTTTGCTGACAAATGGTAATTTGCACCTGTCTTGGAGCTCATTTGTATTAATCTCAAAAAGAAAACACTGTGCCAATTTACATTTGGTTCGTGTTTGGAAGAGTATCTTCACAGCCAATGGCTACAAAGTTAGCTACTTTTTAAGTGAAGCCTTAGGTTTTGGAGCACAAACTTTAAAAAGGGATAGATTCTCCTGTCACTAAGGGGGAAAAACATAGGCTTTAAGACTAACTTCAGCATAATAATATTAGTCTAGCATAAGGTAGCTTTCTACCTACTCCCTAAATTCCCTTGTGGTCATTGAGCAACATCTGAACTAGTCTGTCTACCAGTATTTTTCCCTAAGCCACGTTCGTTAGCAGGGGAATCCATACTTTAGATGTTAGTGGTGCTTTTAGTTATTTTCCAGATCAGTACATGCTTTCCTAGATGTGCGGTAACAGTCTATGCAGAGCAAATTTTACCTTAAATCTCTTATGACCTTGCTAGTGTCTCTGTATTCTAAGACATTAGAATACTTCACAACAGGTCTCAAGGAGCCTCTGTCTGGGGCCAGATTGAGGCATAGGGACTATATGCCCATGGCTAGGACTCTGATTCCCAGAATCCTGTGATTACATCACTCTCATCTTTTATTTAAGAAAAGTACACTCCCTGGCCCTCATGTTTGAAAAGAAAAGATTGAAAATGTCACCCAAATGTAACCAATGCAGTGATGTCTGCAGATTCAGTCAGACAGCTTGGAACATCTCTAACAGGAGTGAACTGGTTTCAATACAAGCCAAAGCAGGAAGTACGAGTAAAGTACAAAATCCAAAATTACAGGTGGAAAAACATTTTTTGTACCTAACTACTTAAAAATAGGATATTAGAACATGCTTACTGAGAAGTGGGTACAGAGAGGATTGCCTGTAGCAGTAGCAGCAAAGGTTTTGTTTTTCAGGTATAGGGAAATAAAGGTTTCCTGGGTTACATGGCAGACTTTTGCAGAGTAACTAGACTTCTGAATTCAGACTTATGGGAAAACCATAAATTCTTTCTAAATAATGGTTTTCATTAATAAAGTATCTTTCATTACAGTTTTTTGGGAGGATGAAAAAACTGTGCCAGATGTCTGACACAAATGAGCAAAAAAACTTGTTTAAAATCTGCTGTCACCACCTTACTTCACCAAATTCAAAAAACAACTTTCCAAAGCAGAGAAGAAGATTCAGACTGACTTCTGAAATAACTTTACTGGAACAGATATGATTAAGTAATAAGCTGGTGGCTGTCCACAGAGCTTGTCTGACCTAAGTAAAAGTGGGCTGTAGAACCCTGCAGCACTTCTAGTATAAGCTCTAGGAAACCTGTATGTGTAATATATGGAAAATTTTTGTAGAAGACTGAATTCTTAAAATAACTGTAAAACAGGAGCTTTGGTTACCTCGCTACTGTAACCTCAAAGAAAAATTAAGTGACGTTGACTTTGGCACAAGCAGCATTGCCTACAGAATGATATGACGATGCTTTGGGTTAGAAAAGCGTATATTTGCAGCTAAATATCACATTACCTTCTCCTGTATCCCTAGGCAATGATATAGAACAGGGGTCGGCAACCTCTGGCACGTGGCTTGACAGCTTCGGACGATCGCGGCTCCCTCTGGCCATGGTTCACCATCCCAGGCCAATGGGGGCTGTGGGAAGCAGCGCGGGCGAGGGATGTGCTGGCCGCGGCTTCCCACCACCCCCATTGGCCTGGGACGGCGAACCGCGACCAGTGGGAGCCACGATCGGCCGAACCTGCTGACGCGGCAGGTAAACAAACTGGCCCAGCCCACCAGGGTGCTTACCCTGGTGAGCCGCCTGCCAGAGGTTGCCGACCCCTGATCTAGAAGATAGGTCATTGAACTAGGTGTTGGGAGGTCTAAGATCTGTTTTGTTCTATTACTGACTGCTGTGTGACACTGCGTAAGTCCTTTCACTTTACCTCTGTTTCCCCATCCATCCTTTGTTTTTAACTACACCTCTACCCCGATATAACTCGACCCAATATAACACGAATTTGGATATAACGCGGTAAAGCAGTGCTCCGGGGGGGCGGGTCTGCGCATTCCGGTGGATTAAAGCAAGTTCGATATAACGCGGTTTCACCTATAATGCAATAAGATTTTTTTGGCTCCGGAGGACAGCGTTATATCGAGGTAGAGATGTATATTGTAATATCTTTGAAGCTGGGACTCCCTTTCTGTCAGTGGCTAGCACAACTGAGCCCAAGTCTCAGTTGGTTCACTTCTCTAATACAAATAATTGATAAAGGCATAACAAACTAATTGTAAATGCACAATTATTATAAATACAATTTCTAAGACGCTTAATATGAGTAAACATTTTAATTATAATTTGAGGGGACACTGTCAAGCACCCTAATTGGGGACCAAAGTTTTAGGTGACTGGAAAGTGCTGTATTCTGCTAGAAAGTATCATCCTGACTATAACAGACATAGTCTTCAGGTTGATTTTTCTCAAGCTATGAATACTACATTTACTGCATTTGTTGTCAGTGTCAAACAAATGTGTGCTCTTGGTGATATATAATTAGTTAGGTGCACAGCTTTCTTGTGGGATCTTCTGTGTATTTAACTACATACTGTTACATAGCTGTAATGTGAGTAGCAGGATATTTGCCAACATATTTTAATTACATTTTTAGCCCCTCACAACTAACCTCAAAATCGTCATCCTATACAACATTGCTTAGTAGTATCTTGGCTTTACAGTATGAGATACGGCTTTCCATTCCTCTAGTATAATCTAAAGTACTCCCAGCAAGAGTAATTAGCTGAAGTTATGAAAGCTGTCCAAGAGAATTGTCTGCATTTAATTTCCACCTTAATAAAGGGATCAAAATGATATTTTCCCTTTCTTCATATGCCATGTGGCACTGGCAACTTTAACCCGAGTAGTTCATGCTGATCAGACAGCACATATCGCTGTGGAGCTGTGCTCTACTAAGGCCTGGTCTACACTAGGCTTTTATGTCGAATTTAGCGCCGTTACATCGAATTAACCCTGCACCCATCCACACCACGAAGCTATTTAGTTCGACATAGAGGTCTCTTAAATTCGACTTCTGTACTCCTCCCCAACGAGAGGAGTAGCGCTAAATTCGAAATGGCCATATCGAATTAGGCTAGGTGTGGATGGAAATCGACGCTAATAGCTCCAGGAGCTATCCCACAGTGCACCACTCTGTTGACGCTCTGGACAGCAGTCCGAGCTCGGATGCTCTGACCAGCCACACAGGAAAAGCCCCGGGAATATTTGAATTCCTTTTCCTGTCTGGGCAGTTTGAATCTCAGTTCCTGTTTGGACATCGTGGCGAGCTCAGCAGCAGTGGCAACGATGCAGAGCTCTCCAGCAGAGATGGCCGTGCAATCTAATAGAAAGAGGGCCCCAGCATGGACTGATCGGGAAGTCTTGGATCTCATCGCTGTGTGGGGCGATGAGTCCGTGCTTTCAGAGCTGCGCTCCAAAAGAAGGAATGCTAAGATCTACGAGAAGATCTCTAAAGCCATGGCAGAGAGAGGATACAGCCGGGATGCAACGCAGTGCCGCGTGAAAATCAAGGAGCTGAGACAAGGCTACCAAAAAACCAAAGAGGCAAACGGACGCTCCGGATCCCAGCCCCACACATCCCGTTTCTACGAGGCACTGCATTCCATCCTAGGTGCGGCCGCCACCACTACCCCACCAGTGACCGTGGACTCTGAGGATGGGATATTGTCCACGGCCGGTTCCTCGTCGGACATGTTAGCGGACGGGGAAGATGAAGAAGGAGATGAGGAGGACGATGCAGTCGACAGCGCTGGCACCGCTGATTTCCCCGACAGCCAGGAGCTCTTCATCACCCTTACCGAGATCCCCTACCAACCGTCCCCATCCCTTACCCCGGACACAGAATCAGGGGAAGGATCAAGCAGTAAGTGCTTT